GCCGCCGAGCTCCGGGGCCGCCGGGGCTTCCCGGCTCCGCGGCCTCCTCGCCAGCGCCGGGGGCGCGGCGCCGGCCCGGCCGAGAGGCGTCGTCGGCGCGGCGCGGCTGGATCGCTCCCCGCCGCCGTGGCTGCCAAGGGACCGTCGCCGTCTCGTCGCCTCAGCGCAGCTGTCTGGGCCCGGCCCGCGCCGCCGCCCGCCTTCCCCTCCTTCTCTAGCCGGGCCTGCGGGTGAGCGGGGAGCGGGGGGCGGGTGTGGGGGCCCGGGAGGGTGGGGGGCAGCGCGTTTGTTCAGCGATCAGCGCCCGCCACCCCCGGAGCCGCCGGCAGTGCGGTCCCGCCGCCGCCCCCGCCCGGTGCCGCCGCTCGCCGGGCGGGCGCCCCGTGAGGGCGGGAGTCGGTGCCCGACACCTGCGGGCGGGCCCGGGCGGCGGTGACAGCCGGGGCACCTCCTCCATTGTGGGAGCGGCGGCCGGGCCGCGCCGGGGCCGTGCGGGCTCAGCGGGGCCAGCGGGGCCCGGGACCCGCAGCGACCGGCCCGGCCCCCGGCCCTGCCCGGGGTGCTGGGAGTTGGGGCCGGGGCGGGTCTGACCCACGGCTCTGACCCGGAGAGGGTCAGCCCGGCACAACAAAACTTCCCCGGCTACCTCTTCCTGGGAGTTACAGGCCTGCCCCGGCGCCCGGCTGGAAAGGGCTCCACGGCAGAGGTGAACCCGGAGTAAACACCGCCTGTTGGAACTCGGAATACAAACAATAGGAGGAAAATACGGAATAAGCAAACTTCCTTGAAATGTGGGAGAAAACCGCAGACGAGAGCGTACTCCCTCCCTGAGTCGAGGGGGGATGCCGAGCTGTGTGTCACAGCCCTTGCTGTTCGGTGGGGAAAGGACTTTGGGTTTCATTTTCTCTCTAAATTCTTGATTTGACAGAGAAAATGAGTGGTTTACGTTGATATGATTTATCATGCTGTGTAAAATTTTTTTTTAAATTACTACTCGGTCAGTTTTCATAATTTTGAAATTAGTTCAATTATTTTTATGACTCTTCATTAATACTTTTAACAGTTGACTTTTTTTTTCAACTGCTACCACTGATGTAACTTAATTGTGCTGACAGAAAACAGCAAAACATTGGAGGTTGTGTGATGCTGTAAAAAATTGCAGCTTTATACAATCTTTGATTAAAAAATAATTTTATGCTAGTAAAAATGGGTGCTGTTAAAAGAGAAATGAATAATTTTTTCTCAATTTCTTTACCCTTCCCAAATTAACTTCCGTTAATTGATTGTATTATATCCTGCCAAACACAAGTAATGTATGATCTGTATACATGGGACAAAAGCTCATGAGATGACCAATGTTATAGGACAAACCCAGAACTGAGTTTCACAGCCCATACTTGTGCCAATGCTGTATGTACTCAAAGATGTTTTGTATGCAGTGAAGTGCTGAATTTCGGGAACTTCTGTTCAAATAACATGTAGGGTGCTAACTACAACACTTTGAAAAAACTTAGAAGAGTAAGGGAGAAGTTTGAGTTCTAGGAAAGAGAAGACTTGGCAGGAGAGATGGTCATAAGAGGGGACAAAAATTCTCCTTTGAAATGTTTCTTGTTATGAAGTGACTCTAATGCCTTTAGAAGAGGAAAGAGTAACAGGTCAAATGATTTAGTTTTATACTAGGGAAAACAATGAAAATTATTAAATACTAACAAGATTGTCTCATGAGTGAATTTAAGAGTGATCTTATTTCACTGTCAAATTATTGGGCTTTCTTTTAACCACTTCCTTTGGACAAAAATCATTAATGCAGCACACAGAAAAGAAACCATTTGACTTGTACTACATTGATGTAATTAATTTTACAGAGAACACACCAGTGATAGGAATGCTCTTCATTGCTGCAGGGGGTTCTGACTGCCAGCCTCACTGTACAGAGTGAGAAGGTGCAGTTCGCAGTACAGGATCTTGCCAGCAGCTCTCCAGGGTGAAGGGGATAGACCAAATAATTTAGCTGGGCAAAGGCACAGAGCAGTTTGCAGGGGTGTCAGTAGTACAGGACAATTCTTTGTCAGCAGACACTACTGAAGAGGCCTCTGGAGCATCTGGATGTACTTCCTGAAGGGTTATGAGCCCCCTTCCAGGGAATATCTTTCAGTGGCTTTGGCTAAACTTGTTACAGGTGTAGTAAAAAAATAGGAACCAAAACTCCGACATTATGTCCCTGTCTAGGGTTTATTATGTTATTTGGTTTAAATGTGAAGGCCTTGTCACTGTGCCTTTGAAAGCTGAGTGTGAATCTCAAAAGCAGTAGAAGAACAGTGACTTGCCTTGGCCAGGAAGGGCAGCTGCTGCAGCCCAAACTGTGGTAGTATTTAAACTTCTACATCCTAATGTGGAGCAGAATGAGTTCTAGTTATAGCCAGCCTAATTCAGTTCTTGGAATTGCATTTCTTCTGATATACTACCTTAAAATAGTGTTCTTAGGGTTATCTTTATTAAGTGACAATTTCTTAAATGGTTTGCTTTTTCTATATACTTTTGGGTGCAATGGTTAAGGCTTTTTCCTCTACCTTTCCAGTTACATTCACAGGACAGGACTCCTAATGAGGCAGCAGTGAATCTTGAAATATTGAAAATAAACAGTCTACTCTGGTGCAAGGAATTGTAGATTTTTTTGTGTGCAAACCCAAGAAGTCACTGGAATCACACAGGTTTATCCCAAAACTTCAGGTATTAGGTGAAAACCAATCTCAGTGTCCCAGTGTGGTAATAGTACACATACTGTGTCAGAGCTGAAAGCATAAATGCCTATTGAATGATTGAGAAACTTGGTATCTGCAAGGAAATACTGTAAAAGGTGCAGGTGTGGTAGGGAGTGACAGTTTTATAACAACTTCCTGGATTGATTCTTTATGTGTTTTGTAACATCCAGTAGTAGAATGAAATGAATTCTTTTTTTCCTTTGTTATTTGATTTGGAGACTACAGCTCTTTTGCAAGAAGCTGAGGCAGTAATAAATGATCTTACTTTCAGAGTTTCATTAAAGGAACTTCTTTGCTCCTTGGTCTGATTTCCTGTGTGCAGTGATAGTTTCCAGTAAAGGCCTTTACAGCCTGTTCAACTTTACTTTTATACTTTTTAATATTTATAGCATAACAATCAATCTAAGCAAATCAAACTGCAGGCGTACGATAGTTCACCTTGCAAGACTACTATATATGTTAGTATATGCTAATGTCTATACTGATATGTTTGCATTAGTAGAATTACAACAAAAGCACAGACTTTTAGAATATCCTACTTCTAGTGAAATACAGAACAGTAATTAAATGAAAAGGGATGGTGTTTGAAAATAATTCTAGATCTAGCTATTCCCTTAGTAATGCTGAAGAAACTCTTTGCCTTTCAGAACACAGTTTGCAAAATCTGCAGCCTACTGAAGCCACTTTTGAAAATATTTGTCTTTACTGACCTGTAGAAACTTTTAGATTTTTGCACCACTAACTTGGTGATAAAATAATGCTTTATCCAGCTCACATCTAGTATTGGCTGTCACAATGGAGTCTGGAACTAAGCTGGGAAAAGATGAGTGGGTTTGTTAGTATGCTTGGTTGAGAACTGCAGCAGTTCAGGTGTTGGCAGTTTCATTCTTTCTGACTTGATAATGTTTAAAAGAGAAGTAGAAGGCAACTTGGTACTGTTACCTTCCCAAATCACTTAAGCCTGAATTCTAGAGGGGGCTCCTTCAGAGGTATCGCTGAACGCACCATCCAGAATTGTTGTGGCACTGTGATCTTCCTGTTTTACAGTCCTTAGGATATTTGATAGACATCGAGCAGACAAGTTTTTCACAAAACTTCTGAACATGCTGTTAGTTAACTAAGCTTCTAGAAATAATCCACTTTATGAAGATGATATTCCTTTTCTTTTGACTGGTTTTGCATTATTTCAGTCGGTGAGATGTGCCCTGACCATCAGGTTTTACTCAAACAGTAGTAAGAGGAAGCAGTGATGGTAGTTGAGACTGTACTTCTATTCCTAGATTCTTTCCTAACAGTGAATGGAGTGCTTATGTCCAAAACATGGAATTTTTAACTTCTATAGACCCAAATCCATTTGTGAATGTAATTCTGGCCTTGCAGCTTAATTTCTTTTTTTCTGTGGAGGGTAGGGGATGCTCCTCTGTTTGGCAAGTCCAGTTTCTTCTGTTTTATCAGGTTCCTGTTGCTGCCAGATTTGTCTTGGTTTGGGTGGGAATACAAATGATCAGCTCTGTCTCACAGCCTCTTCAGTACCTTAGTTCCACAGTCCCTCACTAATCCCTGTTGGGTGACTGTAACACCTGGAGGGTGTATGGGAAGGTTGTTTTGATAGGAACTCATAATCCATTTCCCGGGGGTGGTGTTAGCAAATGTTTTCTATGAGAGTAAGGGACTGTTTTCGTTTACTATTTTGTTATTGTGTGTTTCAGCCCAATATGTAAGTGGATAAAAAATAAATAAGCTCATCTGCTCAGAAAGAAATTAGCAGGTTGTGACAGGTACTCACTGTCTTTAAGGCTGTGAACTTTTAATGTATTGAGGCATCGGCATTCGCAAGTCTCAGTGAGCAAATACTGATACATTTGCTTTAAGATTTTAATTCCCACAAATACCACTATAATAGCTGCCACCAAGTTGAAGAATTCCTCTATACAACTTCACTAAAAGTCACTTGTGAACCACAATGGTCATCCAAGTATTATGGTGGTAACATGATCAAGAGTTGTGGATGAGATTAGAAACTGTAAGTGAAAGTGAGCTCATGTCCTCAGGGTGCAATAAAAACCTTCTTGTGCGTGGGCTCTCTATTCCTTGGGAGGAATGAGCTAGGTAACCTTTCCTTTTATTATAAACTTGACCTTGAGACTTGAGAAACATGAGCAATATATTTCTCCTCTCTTAAATGTGCAATCAAATTGTCATAAACTTCAGTTTATTTAAACTTCAACTTCCAAATACATTTAAACTATTTTTTTTAATCAATATCATCATACCTACAGCTGATAAAATTTCAAGCTGTGTATTGATTCGGTATAACAGCAGGCTTCTGCTCTCTGTCAAAAGCAAATTATTCATCCCACTTCTTGCTGTATAAGAAATTGGGAAAGCTGTGATCTGAAGACAGAATACCCTCCTTCTTCCTAGTACAGTTTTGAAGCAGGCACACATCCCAGTGACCTCTTCAAAAG